GAAAAGACAGGCGTAAAAATCTGTAGGTATTCAGAACAAAAGTTTGTCCCTAATATCAAAGTTATTACTTGAAAAAACTTGATGAACTCGCCGGTTTTTACCCGTCTGAAAATATTTTTAGACCGGCCGGTGACTGACCGGACCGGGCCGGACCGGTCTGGTATTTCCCGACCGGTTACAACTCTGAGGTAAGGTATCAAAATCCTGAATGAAAAATATCGAAAGTGGAAACTGCACTTACCACTCTCAGCACATCTCAGAAAAATACGAACAGACGAAACGTATGAGCGAGGAAAGAAGCGTACAGATGACGATCGAATCAGAAGACATTTTGTTTCTATCTGTGTATATCAATATCTAATGTTGTTTGCGGAGTTTTGATTATCACGCGGCAATAAACAGTTTGAAGTGGGAAAATAAATTCTGCGTTAATAAAAGTCCTTATATTGGATTTCTAACACTAAAAACGCTTTCCGATTTTCCTCTGGCAGTGAATTTTTACCGATCGACGCTGTTACCGTGAATGAGAGAGTGTTCCGTTGGGAATTGACATAAACATACCTGCAAGCTCAGCTTTACCTGGTTCATCTTGTTCATGCTCAGCTTTGCCAGTTTCATCTTGTTCATGCTCAGCTTTGCCGTGAGTATCCGCTTGTGGCTCGTGAGCATCAGATTTTCGACGTAAGCCATGCGTAGCAGCTTTCACATGCACACCTGAATGACTATGCGTTGCTGTTTTTCCATGTGTATCCGTGTGTGCATGTGCTTTAGGATGAGGATGGGTGACTGTGACTCCAGAGGATTTTGTCGGCTCGTGTGCGTGTGCACCTCCAGCTGCTATGTAGAAGAAGTAAAACGCAATGTTTAGTAAATTCAAATAGAAACTTCAACATAAGAGAAGATGACACAGCACATCTGTATATTCAAACAAATATCTCTTAGAAAAAAATTCTCAGCCCTCTGAGAAGCTAACCAGTTTTTATTCAAGTAAATATCTCACTTTTTCCCTGAACTTTCGAAAAAGTTAATTTCTTTAAATGCCGGCCTCTTTTTCAAGTTTCGGAGACAAGTGTTGCCCATTCAGTATGAAAAACTAAATACGAAAATCTAGTTTTAATATTGTTCGCATACAACGCGGTGGAAAGACTTTTTGCTTCAGAGAAGGGGATCAAGTTCGAATTCGATTTTTTTCGATTTGACCTAAAGACAGACAGATATACGGTGAAATATTGAAACAATTCTTTGTCAATTATGTAAAGACACAGTGAAATCGCATCGTGAAATAACTATCTCGAACTTCCGAGAGAACTATCCCAACTGATCCAGCGCTTTCGACCCCGTAATTTGGCCGTTGATAGACCTTGTTGAGACTAAGAAAACTCTAAAAGCATTCGTGCCCATGGTCCTTCGTTTCCGAGATATTTGAGTTGCAAGTAGATTTTCTCCTAGGGCACTGGTTTTTCTTGAAAACCTGAAATGTTGAATTTCAACTTGAAACTTTGCACAAATGAATACACATTCGAGAATTGTGAAACTTTTTACAGAGACTAGTCTAGTAGAGACCTTATTTGTTCAAAATTTCAAGTTGAAATCCAACATTTCAGGTTTTCAAGAAAAACCAGTGCCACAGGTAAGTATATACCAGTTTTTAACTGGTGTCGGGGCATCCAGAAGAATTGCTATACATCAGTCATCACGATTCGCTCAGAGCCGTGAAATATCTCATTTTGTGGAAAAATGTTTGCTCTACAAAATGCATTTGTTAAAAGATTTCCAAAATCATTTCTAAGAAAACTTAGAACATTCTAAAATGCACAAAATCATGAAAAATGCATTTTAGAATGTTCTAAGTTTTCTTAGAAATGATTTTGGAAATCTTTTAACAAATGCATTTTGTAGAGCAAACATTTTTCT